TCTCCAATTCCTCCTCATCTCCCTTCCCCACATCACCCACCACCTTTTTCAATCCCCTTTCCCACCATTCGTCCCGTCCTTCTCCCCAGCCCCTCCTTTTCTCCTTCATCTCTCCTCCTCCCCCCTTTCCCCCACCCACCACCCCACCCCCCACCATCCCCATCCCTCCCCCACCATATACACTATCCTGGGAAAAATATAAAAACCAAGAGTACAAGTTTTTCCTCAAGAGCGATTAAGAGTGCATGATGGGTACCGTGACCTGTAATTAAAGAGCATAGAGAGATCTGGGTCCACACCTGATGATGTGGCTGGCGGCGAGGTGTTAAGTCATTGTACCCATCTTAAGAGAGAGAGAGAGAGAGAGAGAGAGAGAATATACCTCCCAATTATAAATAAAAACAACAAAAATAAAACGTAATCTTTCGCCTCGCATGAAACATTCAATTAAGAGCGATGTATTAATATATTTATCGTGTAACTCTTAATTACGTCCATTGTGCTGCCTTGACCGTAAAGGTGTGGTGGTAGGTCGGCTCCTTGACCTTCAACACGCAGGCGACGTGGCCAGGGTTCGAACCTTCATCTCACCCTCGCCGTAAGAAGGTCACTGAGTTCGTTTGTACAGTGACCTCATGATCCACTGTGTGTGTGTGTGTGTGTGTGAGTCCTTTACTCCTTCACAATCACATATCATTATCATCATCACCATCAATCATAATCACTCACCATCATTATACATCTTAACACCAAGCTATGACAGTCACCATCACAGTACATAATACACTCATATTCCCACCCATCTCACCATTGTCATCACTATCACCATGTCATATTCATCATCACTCTCTCTAACTCATTACCATCCTTCATTATTACCTAAGACGCACCATCACATTCACCATCAATAAAGCCAACACGCACTATCACTCTCCACTATCATTAACAAAACTTCACACTCACTATCAGTTCCTATTAGAATGGAAGAAACTGATACTAGCCCGAGCGTGTGGCTAGTAATTTTTCGGACCTACCTAGTAGCTTCTTGGACGTAGCTAATAATTTTTCTCCCCTGGTTTGTAACTTTTCTCCCCTGGCTAGTACATTTTCTCCCCTGGCTAGTAAACTCTCACCAAAGCTAATAACTACTTTGAATTGCTAGCTAGATGGTGCAACAACTTTTATCCGTAAATTTTCTTATAATATCGAAATTCTATAAAGTTTTCTCACAAATTTTTCTTTCACATGTAATCAATAACTTAATTTAGAGCAATTTAAGTGGTTTCTTTTATTTGCGTTTGTCTTGGAGATTTACCAGCGATAATGCACGTCATAACCGGCAGTTCTAAATGGGTTCCTGTGTGGGGTCTGGACTGAGAGACTCGCTATGTGTTTGCTGAATTTATTGTTGACAAGGTGTGAGATATTTATGGCCAGCCTACTGTGTGTTGACTGACTGGGAGGTAAACTTAAGAATATAGTGAAGTCTACTATTATGTTTATTCTTTCGTTTACACATCTAGACTCAGTAAACATCGAAGGCTTTGACTCCCAAGCCAACCATCTACTAATGTGTACCCCAGCAGAAGACAAGCCAGCCGACTCACGTGTGTTGCCAATTATATACAACACTGTCTACGTACAGTTGCCAGCATGTGTAATGTTGCTCGCCTCACACAAGACTATGATGTGGTAACGCCCCAGTGATAGTCAAGATGGAGATAGTGAGGGGCAGGGGGGACAACACAGTCCAACAGCAAAATTATATCGAAGACTTATACTATCCCAAGGAATATTAAATGTAAACCCACGTGCGCCACGTGTTCAGTCAAAGCATTACTTAACAGCCTAAGGTTTAAGTTTAGTCGATCCGTCTCCGCTAGGTGGACAGCCCACCTGCTATCTACCTCTCCCACTTTTCTTCCCGTTTCTATGCTTTACTTCTCTTTCTCCTCTCCTTTCCCAGTGCAAAGTCATTTGCCATTTTACTTCATTATCATCATCATCATCATCATTAGTCGATTTCTGCATATTCTTAAGGAAAAATATAATGTTTTATTGTCATGAATAATATTTATCCAAATAAATTATTGGGTAATTCTCTAATGACAAGTTTGAACTAATCCTAAAATATTGAACATTCCTAAAATAAAATAAAATAAATGCAATAATGCTCTTACCTGAAAATTTAAAGCTTCAATATCCGGAGCAGCTCAGATGCCGTTCATCAAAGTTGTTCGAACAGTGTCAAGAACTATTTCGAAATAGTTTCACTGTAATTTCACTCCGCCGACACACTGTGTTCCGCGTGTGTGAGCACACGTTGCTTAGTGCCTTACATGAAGAGTTTTATCTCTCATAAATTTTAATTGGCGATGAACTTGAGAAATTACTAATCTTGTTACGCGCTTAAATGTTTTAGTTGTTGAAGCCCACTAATAACATTAGAACGTCAACGTTCCCTTCACTTATGCATGCTCCTTCACTTGACATGTAACACTCAGTAGCTAAGTAACACTAAACGTTTCCATCAACAAAAAACACACTCAAAGTTGCTGCTGCCCTTGACCACACACACTCGAGGACGACCGTCCGTACTCACACAGGCACTACAAGACACTGTCCTCCACCAACCTGTTACACCTCGTCGACTTTTGACTTATTGATTTCTGGAAACAATCAAACAACATCGTAACAACCATACGTTCCGCAAATCGGTAGTTTACACTAACAAGCGTTGTGGTGGTTAAGGTACTGTTTTATAAGGTAAATATGTCAGTTTTTCTACACTATATTAATCCCCTTTAGTTCCCTAAACAATATCTCAAGAAACAATTCGTATTGTATGTAAAGTCTTAATATAGCGGGATCACTTGAAGATTAGACACCCCAACTTGCTTTACCTGTTGATTAAACGCCCTAACGCTGGTGACCCGTATAGAAAAACTTAAAATAACTTATATAGATACAAGGACAAGTTCATACCGTAATATTAAGAATTATCCGCCAGGCTGCAGTATTTAATGAAGGTCCCGGAAGGAAGTTTATTGTGCAGTGGTCCAGATGTTCAACAAGAGCCCGACCAGGTCTTTAAGGTGATGGTGGCAGGGATCTGGGGGTAAAATAGTGGTGAATGAGAGATCGCTGGTGAAGGGTTTCGTCAATACGTGAGGAGGTGGTTCCTAGGCGCACCTACAATAAACTGCACTATATAAAGACACAGGACCAAAGACACTCAATTTTCATGATAAACATAAAACATAACCTAAGAAACGAAACTACATCTCAAAATAAGAAAAAACTCATAATTTGTCCGCTCTACCTTTGATCATGGGTGCGGAAGGAGTGGTAGGGCGGGAGGTAATAATGAGAATCTGAGGGAGTGGTCAATATGTATAGGGAACACTTACAAAGTTAAAACATAAATTACAAAATCCAAACCAAACAGGATACACATAAACGAGAAAACCCCCCAGATATTACTAATATATATATATATATATATATATATATATATATATATATATATATATATATATATATATATATATATATATATATATATATATATATATATATATATATATATATAATGATAAGGACTCGTGACTGACAACACCACTAGCTTGTCACCCGCCTCCCCTCCTTACCCCTTGCTGCCGGCATTTAAGATGTTTTTTACAGTAAACATATTATTGGTCAGGTAAGTTTTAGTGGTTTAGGTTATCTGTAATGTTTAGTTTGATTTCCGGTTTTGTCTTAGCACTGTAGATAAAACACTGAATAAATTTTGGCAGTGACATATTTTCTCAAACCGTAAGTTCACGTGAAGTTATTTTGTCATACACAGCACAGTGTATATTCCTATTTTAATTTTCATATTATATATACATACATATACAAACATACATACATACATACATACATACATACATATACCTGGCGCTTTTCAGGAAGGTTACCCACCACGATTGCTGAGGTTCACCTGTATGAGTTAGAAACTAAAAAATTTTTGTTTTACCAAAGCACTTAATCACTCTTGTGTCCGAAGTTCAGCTACCCCTCCCCCCCAAAAAAGCAGAGGATATCAACTGCACAAACAAGATAACAAACAGTAAAGCAAGCAAACGTACAAACTGAGAAACTACTCAGTCTGCTAGTTTTACTTCGATGTAAACACAGTGGTTTTCCATCTCACAAAACATGCCAGCCACTGTACCAGGTATAAATGGAGGCAGCTGTGTACCTGTGTCAATACGTGGAGTACCTTCATTATTTAACTTCATTGCTGTTCTCTCATTCTATCACGACAAATATTCTTCACTCTTCCTCTGTGTGTGTGTGTGTGTGTGTGTGTGTGTGTGTGTGTGTGTGTGTGTGTGTGTGTGTGTGTGTGTGTGTGTGTGTGTGTGTGTGTGTGTTTCTGTCCCAATTCCGTGGAAGACATGAGACGTGATCCTTTCTGGGTTACCTTAGCCATTTGATACTCCATGGAGACCCTTTGAGAAGCACCTCCCAGGACCATGACATCAGGTACAGTATGTATGTTAGGATGGCCGTCAGGTGGGATGGCTTACTGCGCGTATACAAGTGAGAGTCTCGATTAAAGTCGCCATTATGATGTAACTTATGGATATTATTGTGTTTTTACTTTATTCTTCAATGTACTCACTCTATAGATGAATTCCCTCAGTGTACAAGCATATATCTGCATTATGAAGGAAAATAAATACATGGTACAAGTATAGTCAACACAAGGCCACCTATGATGACGTCAGTGAAAGCAATAAGTGTTAATGAAACTCTCCGACACTGTACCTTCATACGCATATTGGTATACGTCTCTGATGACATGAACGGTAGTATATTCACTTGGTGACGCACTATATAATGCACCTCTTCGTTTCCTGCGACAGGCTCTCACCTCATATACCTTCCACACAGTCGACACACCAGCCCTCCTTCCTTTCATCTCCTCCTGGATGAAGATAGTTTCCCCCATGTCTCCTGGTACGCGTCTCTCTTTTTACCGTCACCCACTGCTAGCAAACTATTCCTTCTCCCTTATTTCCTATTGGACGAGGATGGTTCTCCCTGTGCCTCCTGACTCCTCATATTCTGCTGGACGTAGAGATCACACTTAGGTCTTCATCAGTAGCCAGAGGGGCTTCTTATCTCCAGCGGCCATCATTCACGAGCAGCAGCAGCAGCAGCAGCAGCAGGAGGTGGTGTTGAAGGATGGTTGTCGATACGATGGTTCTTCAAGCCCTCCAACCTCCACCAGACGGCCCCTCAGGTAACTCTCCTCATGCAGGCGTTGTAATTCAATGAATTCTTGACAAGTTCATGAAATTCCTTTTCTTCCGTTTTCTACATTTTCTTCTTCATCGTTTCCATCAACTTGACTAATTTTCTTCCTTTTAGTCTTCTAATGGAGAGGGAATACAGTGATCGATAAGTGAATGTAGATGTGTAACAAACATTTGACATAATCACATCGTCCGCCAATGACCGACGGATTTTCACGCCACTTGGTACAAATGGTGAATGAGAAGGGATGTTCTGATGAGTCCGTCCGCCTCACTTTACAGTATAAGTCGCTGTCAGATTAATGTGTTAATTATATTTTTAATGTGAAGTGTACAGTCTAACTGAATACATACTTCCTGTTGTCGAAGAACACGTTTTACTCCTATTAGTGGACGTCTTTATCAATACGAGAGAGAGAGAGAGAGAGAGAGAGAGAGAGAGAGTACAATTACAAGGTTGGTGTCAGTAAAATAATAATCGGTATTAAATTAAGCAAAATATTTTATCATCTCTCTCTCTCTCTCTCTCTCTCTCTCTCTCTCTCTCTCTCTCTCTTTCTTACTATTTGTCCCTTCACGTCTTTTTTTCTTTCTTTCTCACACTCTCTCTCTTTCTCAAACACTTTCTGTCTTTCTGTCTGTCTGTCTCTGGGAGAACCCGCAGCAGCATGAAGCGCCGCAGGTTTTCTACACGGAATGACTGCCTGTGTACACTTTTTCACTGAACGAGTTGTAGCCGCCTCGTTTATTTTTTCGCTAACAAGTTCACTTTTCTCAATTTCAGGCGACCAAGTTGGCAGCGATATAAATCTATCTTATGGTCTTTCTTTTTCTGTTTATCGTGATAAGTGCGGACAAAAATGAAAATAAAACATGCAGGTAAATAAAATATACTAAAATGAAAAATGAAATTGATATAACAACTACTACTTAAACTACTACTTTTACTACTACAACTACTACTGTAAGTAATGGTATATGACCACCCAAAAATAAAAGTTTCTGATCTGGTTATTAAGTTTTTGCGAAATTGTAATAATAAATCATTTAAATGTTGATGAAATTTACTGTAACCATGGGATATGAACCACACTGAGATTTACTGGGTTTAATGAATATATAAAAGCCAAAAGTAGGGATCCAGGTTTTCATTTCCTTTGCATGTTGACCAATCTAGACGAGCCTTTGGTTACGGTACCTTCCCTCCTCCCCGCTGTTGAGGTAAACAATTTTACATTTTTCTTTCAGTCAAAGGAAAAAGTTATGTTTTTATTTCTTTACGTAATTGCTTTTACTTGTTATTCGTTTTCGTTTACCTGAAGTATATCAGTTTTAGTTTTAAGATGATATATGTGTGTGTGTGTGTGGGGGGGGGGTATCTTCATGTGTGTGTGGGGGTATGTGCATATGTGTGTGGGGGGGTATGTGCATGTGTGTGTGTGTGTATGTGTATGTATAAAAGCAGGAACTCCAACGTGGGAGTCATATGTCTGAACGACTTGGTGCTCGTGTGTACCGGACAAGGACACCGTGTTCCTAAGTTTTAAGAGAACGACGAAGCATTCCCGAGCCTGCAAATGTTTTGGCTTCCTCCAGGCCAGTGATGATGAATCCTGGAGCACAGTCAATCACTCTCCTGTCCAGGGTCGTCGACACGTCCATCGCCCCCCGTCACCCTCCAGCAGAAGACGCATGAAACAAAATGTAAACAAATACTACGTCACATCCAAGGCCTTAACCCTCAAAACGAGACCAAATTTTACTTAACGATAAATTTCAACTTAATTTCAGCATTATTTCTCCGTCTCTGGTAAAGTAAGTTAGTTAGTTACGTTATAAGACAGGTTATTAGGACACGAGAGGTAGATTTAACGTCAGACCATTTAAAGGTAATATAAGGGATCGGAGGCGACTTTTTCTCAGGTGATGGGTCGAATCTCCGTCTCCCATGTTCAGGTATTTTTTCACACCTGTTTTATCTCCAGATGGATGTGACCTCCGTGTGGCTTAGGTTCCCGGTACGCCGAATGAGGTTCCCCGGGACGACATATATAGCTCCCCGGTACGACCTATGATGCTCCCTGTACGACCTATGATACTCCTGGTACGACCTATGATGCTCGCGGTACGACCTATGATGCTCCCTGTACGATCTATGATACTCCCGGTATGACCTATTATGTTCCGGTACGACTTATGATGCTCCCTGTACGACCTATGATACTCCCGGTACGACCTATGAAGTTCCGATAAGATCAATGATGCTCCTGGCACGACCTATGATGCTCCCTGGCACGACTCACAAGGTTGCCCGGTAAGACTCCTCCCCGGTAAGACTCCCAAGGTTCCCCGGTATACTCCATATGGCTGGAGAGAGACGGCTCGCTCCTGCCTCCTCGCCTGCTATCGACACGTGACGTCACTAACTGAAATATGCAGTGTTCGTGCACTCCTCGGGGGAACATATCGACTCGGCCGTGTTTTCGTACCATTTGGTAATATTTTCGACCTGGGTGAATTGTTGTTCATGCCATAAATGAGTGCCACTGCAAGCAAATGGCAGGCGAACGTTAGTCTGACTGTATTAGTATCCATAAATGCACTATTCCAGGAAGGTAAGGGGGAAACGCCAAGCACTGTTGATTACTCGTGCTTGTATTGCTTTTACGGGAAAGGGGGAATATGCCTCTCCCATTAAGACGACTTATTGACAGAGAAGAAGACGCAAAACGCATACCATTTATTAATCAATGTTCTTAAATGGACAAAAATTACTTAATTGTTTAATGGTTCTCTGCAGGGATATACAGTAGTGTTGGTTGGGACCTCGATAAGAACAGCGTCAATGAAAAGTGACAGGAGAGTGAACGACTGACAGCTCGAGCAACGGGTCTCATGAGGCAGGGGACAATGTTTCACTCGGGCAACACTACAACACTTCTACTAGGGCAACACTTGCAACTCTTCTACTAGGGCAACACTGCAACATTTCTACTCGGGCACCACTGCAACATTTCTACTCGGGCACCACTGCAACACTTCTACTAGGGCACCACTACAACACTTCTACTAGGGCAACACTGCAACACTTCTACTAGGGCACCACTGCAACACTTGTACTCGGGCACCACTGCAACATTTCTACTCGGGCACCACTGCAACACTTGACTCGAGCACCACTGCAACACTTCTACTAGGGCAACACTGTAACACTTCTCGGGCACCACTGCAACACTTGTACTCGGGCAACACTGTAACACTTCTACTGTTAACAAACGTGCCATAGTTTATGGCAACACTAAATTATTTCCCTTATTCCTTTTTTCAGTCTCAGTGATAAACAAGCGTCAAATAAAAAACTAAAAATATGGAATTACTGGGTTTTTATGTTTGTCTTTTAACCAGTATGACTTTTTCTAGTGTTGGATAATATGTTCCAATCCCAGGAGGTGAAGACTGTTGATACCAAGTCAACACATTCTTTTTGCATTTTTAAGGAGGCCCCAGACGGAGGAATCGATACTACACTGCCTGCCTCTCTACATCATCTTTTTATAAGAGAAATATCAGCGACGTTACAGAGGGAACAGGTTACGAGAACTCAAAGAGAAGAGGGAAATAAAAGACACAGAGTATAAGGATGATAACCTAACCTAACCTAACACAATCTAACTTATCTTTACCTAATCTATCTTAACCTGACCTAATTTTCGTATAACAAATAGTATCTCCTGGGCCGATTTGATGAAAAGATGGACAATAAGTTTAAAAACGGAACCAAACCGATGATAAGATTATCAAGACACTTATACTTCTGAAAAATCTTATTCTGTACTAAATTCCTCTTTTAAAGCTGACGAAATCTCCGACCTGGAAAATACAAATGTTTATTTCTCACACTGATTCAAACATTCCTGCTACTGAGGGTATCTGTTAAGGCACTCGAGTTCATCTTCCTGGAACGTAAGAATGGAAGCTATACCGTAATGCTCACATGAACAATACCTCAAGTGGCTGCACACAGTAAGCTTCATTGGGAACTCAGGCAGAAGAGACACACGGGAATAACAATGATACGGGGTCGGTGCCAAGTCGTATTTTTCTCTTAGTGGAACACACGATCACAAATATTCCTCCCAAAATAGATTAATCAATGGCAGGTAAGGTGTTTTTTATGGCAGGTAAGGTGTATTATATTTCACTTGGATTAGTTTCTGTGCTTTCCTTCTACAACATAGCGGTTTTCTAAAGGCACGTTAGCGCATCGGATCAAATGTCTCTATATCCAAGTTGTCTTAATATTTTCCTTTTAATGACTCAGATGTCACTAGCGGACTTAATACATAAAATGATGAAAACTGAATGAACTTCCATCTCTAGAAGACATTTAAGGAGATATGACCAGGTGACGTTCAGCTGGACAGGTGTATACGACCATCAAGCTACTACTGAAGGTTCTTATTACATTACACAGTTTCTACATGGTTGGGAAAGTTGAGATGTTATAGTAAAATTAGTTCTCCAAGTAGTTGTTTATCTGGTCGGTAGTTTCATCTCTCTCTCTCTCTCTCTCATTGGCTCGAAGACTTGTTCATACTGCAGTCCTCACTTACCTCACACACACACACACACACCTGTTGTTTCCAGCTATAAATAATGCAGTGTTGTTGTTTGGCTCCCTCACCTATTGGTACAAATCCACATCAGACGGTATATTCGGGAATAATACTCAAAAATGCCGAGAAAAAGATGGAAAACACGCACGTCTCATCATGCACGTCAATCTTTGTTTATCTGGCGGGTAGGGAGGGCGGCAGGGGGTGAGCAGGCGCCCTCGGGACCATGAACACACTTGTACGATTTCCTGGAGTTTGACAGACGGTAAGGTTTATTTCAGTATCTATAGTCTAGATCCTCAGATTTTAACGCTATTCTAGATGGTTCAATTTATTACCAATAAATATAAAAATACATAGGTGGAAGACGAGAAATGTTCCTCCTAGAGAACTAGAAAATTCTCTTGAAAATGTTTATGAACATCGCAAGCAGTCGTGAATCTATCCTGTTGGCTGAAAGCAACAACAACATAGTTGATCAGGTAGTCACCCAAGAGAATTAACTGCATGTCGAGCAGCCAGGACTGGAGGAGCTCTGGTATCAACGTACGAGGGATGAATTAAGTCCAGCCTCGCCCTATAGACTTGGTCCTTCAGCTGAGGATCAACACATTATTTCCTGTGATTACCTTCCCTCGTGGAGTCTCTGGCAGCTCGGCCTCGCTCGCTGGTGTTGCTACATGTGCAGTACACCAGCATAATGAAAACCAAACACGAGTGTCAATAAAGAGCGGTAGAGTGGTGGCTGGCGGCGCTGACTCCCAGGGTCCAGGCTGACGGTGCTGACGCCCAGGGTCCAGGCTGACGGTGCTGATTCTCATGGTCCAGGCTGACGGTACTAACTCCCAGGGTCTTGGTTGGCGGTGCTGATTCCCAAGATAAAGGCTGACGGTACTAGCTCCTAGGATCTAGGTTGACGGTACTGACTTAGGGTCCAGGGAGTTTATACACAGGAAGAGAGACATACAAACTGATGGACAAAATAAATGGCACATTCAGACATACATAAGCACAAAGAACTGCTACACACACACACACACATGGACACACACACACACACACACACACACACACACACACACACACACACACAGAGTCGTTCATAATTTCCGCTCTCCGGCAATTGTAGCAACACAGACTGCAAAAGCTACCTATATTACAATGACCTGTGGTGGGGGTATTGAGGAAGAGAGGAGGGAGAGTGTTAGGGGTAAGGGAAGGAGAGCGAGGAAGTGGCCATTGGGAGGGAGAGGAGAGGGAGGGAAGGGCAGGGAGGGAAGGGACGGGGGAAAGGAGTAGGGTGAGAAATCTATTGACTACATTAAACAGAGCAGCTGTGAACTTTAGCTCGAATTCTCAGAGGTTCTTACGTGAAGTTTTTCTCAGGTAACTTGAGAGACGACGAGAACTACTCTAAGTGACTTGTTTAAGCTGACGAACAAACATGGCGTCCTCAGCAACAATGAAATTAAGCTGAGTAAAGTATAAGTGTATTGTAAAGTATATCTTAGAGTGTATATCTCGTAAAGTGTATTTCAAATTGTAAGTGATATCGTTAAGTGTATTGTAAGAAGTGAGTGTATCGTAAAGTGTAACGTGAGTGCACTGGAAGATTATGGACAGCAGATTGGGGAAACACTTTATAAGATATGCAAATCAGATGTTGACATCAGAACAACGCTCAGTGTTACAAAAACACACACACACACACACACACACACACACACACACACACTGGGTGTCGTATAATAATATGCCTACTTTAGATTTTAATAGTAATTAGTGTAAATATGTGTTTGTAATTTTACAGAAGTTTATTTTACACTTTTTTTTACAGAGAAATTTGCAACAATTATTTGGTAACATTTTGTGTCTTTATCTAGTATTATTTAGTGTATTTTTGCTCTTATATTCAGGTGAGCCTCTGAGCCCTGCACCGGGAACAAAACACAATCACCTGGGTAACAATATGGCTCTCTTCTTTACCTTGTTCAATTATCATATATATATATATATGTGTGTGTGTGTAATAATAATACACTAACGGTTTATTGAAAGAGCTTTGGCAGCCAGAAGGCTGAAAAATATACAGCTACATATTTAGAATGGGTTACGAATTATAATATACAAGTGACATAAGTGATACAAATAAGACATATAGTAACTTAGATGGGGATCAGCTCAAACACAGTTCATTTCCTTTTCAAATATAGTGATATGTAGGGAGCAGGTTACTGGGAGGGAATACACTGATTTATTACATGTTATTGATAATTTTTACAATGGTTGGGACTGGGCTGTTCTTATAGCGATCAGTTCGTGCACGTATGGGCTGGATGCGGTTGTGGTGTCGAACAGCAATTCTCGGACAGGGGATCTCAGGTGGTAGTAGGGGCCGGTGTCGGGGATGGTGTAGAAGCTTCTTACCAAATTTGCAGATGAGGCCGTGGTGATGGTCAGTGAGAGTCGAAAGGGTCAGTGTGTTGAGTGCTTCTTGATATGTGGTGTAGGAAGGGGAGAGAATAATCTTGCATGCCCTCTTTTGCACTTT